TTTGTTTTCCAAACATTGAGAATAACAACCTGCAATATGTTCTGATGCAAGTGGCAACATATTTCATGCCTTAGAAAGAAACGCAATATATATTTTCTTTCTACCAATTGAAATATTGAATATTTCTCAAAGTGAAAAAGCTAGATAGCTTTTCTTTGTTATTTTCTCGCCTCCATCCCCCCCCCCCCCCCCCCCCCCCCGCCCCTTTTTTTTCAAAAATACAAGGAGTAGTTATGTATAATTTTTTTTTTCTGGCCTATGAATTTGAGGTGTGGTCAAGAACTAAGACATGCACACATATATTCATTTTCCTTCCAGTATTTGCATAATGTTGATGGCAAAAACCATTTCCATGTGGATCGAGTGAGATTGATTATTTTAATGCAAGGACCTCATGCATCTAAGTTAAGAAATCATGCAAGAATTAAACTTCAAAGAAGGAATAATCCCTGTGCAAATGAGTTGTGATTAGTGCATCGGTGCCAACCCATATGACTCCCTAGAAGTGATTCATTTATGAGTTACTCAAGCATCGAGGCGATTTCGACCATTTCGAGTAAAACAAGTCATGGGTGTCGCGAGGACTTCGAAAGGCCTCTTTTTGTGTTGTGCTCAATAGTCAAATTGCATGGCACAGTTGCTGCTACTTAGGCATGAGACTAAACAATTTTTGGTAGACTCGCGGTGACCGCACTGCTGTCAAGTTCATGTTTAGGTTGCTGAGAGGTGGTTATATAATATCCTTATGATTCCAACTAGTTTTTTCGCTATCAACAAAAGGAATGAAGATAGTCAAGGGAGTCGCGTCACATATAGTTTTGGGAAAGGGTACCGCGGATCCCGCAGTGAGGTTTCTTCGATTTTGCTCTCAACAAATGAGGCCATTTTTGGCCCTTAGGTTTCCCAAGCATAGCACGAGCTCTTGCAGGAAAGAATACACTAGCCCATGGGTGTGTATATTACCAATCATGCAAGTACGTTCATCTTCGTAAGGTACTTAGCTCCACAGTACAGGCGGAGGGAGGTAGGGGTCAGGGTGGGCACGTGCCCCTCAAATTTTTTTTTTATATTAGTTAAATATATGTATTATATATATATATATATATACTAGTCATAATCCGTGTCTGAAAGCACGATAAAATATAAAATTCGAGTACTCAAAAAATCGATCAAATATTAAATTTCAACATGTGTATACTATTGTATATGAATAATGTTTGAAATAAAAATTATATTAACTATAGATTAATCAAATATCAAATGATTAAATATATAATAGAAATAAGTGATGTGATATTTTTAGGAAAAAAATATATAAATGATTAAGCATGTGATAGAAATGAGTGATGCGACTTGAAATTTGAGTCTGACAGATGGATGATGGGTGAAATAAGTGATTGGTGATATTTTTGAGGGGGAAAATATGACTGGGATAAAATTCAAAGTATGAGCTGTTTTATTATATAGATATATATTATGTGTGCCCCACATTTATATTAGACCCACATTATTTATCAAAAATAATTAAATAATTAAGTCCATTTAAAATAAAAAAAAATTGAACTAACTATTATCTATCCAAACTTATTAAAAAATCAAATATTTGACCTATCACAATTCACTCAAACCTATTAAAAAAATAAAACTTTTAGCTCAACATTAAAAACAAAATTTTTGGCCTAACATTAAAAACAAAACTTTTGTCCCACCATCATTAAAAAATAAAACTTTTGGCCTACTTGACTAAAACCTATCTTATCTTTTTTTTTTCCTCTCTGTATCACTCACTCCCAGTTGCTCGCTGCCCACTGCCCAGCCACAAGAAAAAGAGAAGAAACAGAAAAAAGTTCAACACAAGAGAAGCTCAGTTTCTTGAGTTTTTTTGTCATTCCTTGCACCAATCTATAAAATTATTTTATACATTATATTTATCCCCTAAATTTTTGAAAATTTAAATAATGGTTCTAGTCTTTTTTTTTAAAAAATTAGTGGATAACTAAATCTCTAAAATAAATATGTTACTTTTGGATTGAGTCAATGTTTTATTTGTATATTAACGAAAATACAATATTTCTCTTTATCTAACACAATGTTTGTTACTTTTTAAGAATAATTTTTAGTTTTTATTTACCATTTTTTTAGTAATAGTAGTCTATAACCTAATAAAATACAAAAATTAATTTACATTTAATTCATATACAAAATTTTAGAGATTTTAAAAAATTTATATTTTATTGAAATATATAATTAGGTTAAAATGTACAAAAAAATTATTTTGTGTCTTTTTGTTAAGATTTTGTTTCGGCTAAATAAACTTGAATTTATTATTTCACAATAATTTAGTGTTGATTCTTACTTTTTTTTTATTCTTGAACTGAATTTTTTTGTATTAATTTTGGCTTAATATTTTTTTATACCAATTATATTTTGCCTCTATTATAGATATTCATTGTTCCGTCCCTGACAATATATTTTTTTTTTTTGGAATTTTTTATGTTAAATGGATTTCATATATCAAATATAATATAATAAATATAAATATGTTATATAGTGTGATAGATAGAAGGAAAAAAAAATTAGAGTGAATAATTAAAGTGCCCACCTCTCTGAACAAAATTCTTAACTCCGCCCTGTCCACAGCGGTGTGTTTGGTTCATCAACGCGACCCATGCGATTCCCTTGAACAGTTCATTTTTATGTTACTCAAATGGTGAGGACCCGCAAAGAACACAAATCTTGGGGACCGTGAGGATTCCAGAGAGTTTAGGCCACTGTTCGCGATCTACCATTATTTAAGAGTGGAGCAGTCCCCATGATTAGAAAGGATTGAGTTGTGTGTATTCAATTACTTGGTTCATGGTCGCAATGGAGTCATCTTTCCTGTTTTTAATAGGTTTTAGGCTCGCGACATGCTTAGGCTGGTTTCAACTTCGGAGGAACCAGAACGCCCACATGCATTGAAGCTCCATATGACAAAGGGCCAACAAGAACAATGCTTATGTCGTGAATGGCTAAACCAGAACAATGCTCTTTGAACAATAAGAGCTAGATAATAGCAAGAGACATATTAGGGTCCCGCGGTGGTAGTCCTTATGTCGTGAATGGCTAAACCACTTCGAGAAACAAATGTCATGGGTGCCGCGAAGATCCTGCGGAACCTTTTTTTTTTTTTTTTCCCGTAGCAAGTCTGATTGGGCGAAGCCAAATGTGTAATCAAAAGGAATTGAGTAACATGGGTTTGGGAGTTTGGTCCATAGCAACAGTGGCGTAATCTTCTCAACCAAAATAATAAACAATATGGTCAATAAAATGACGTGGTATTAGAAATAAGTTGTGCAGAGTAAGTCCATGGAAAATAATTACTTCGAACTATATATACTGTAAGCGGACAAATTTCCTCTTATCGTCTGCAATCGATGATGTCCTTCCCCGAGTCAAGTCTCTTGCAAGAAGAACAAACTATTCAAGATTGAAGTGCTTCGATCAAAGACACTCTGATACTTAATTCAGTATATGTAAATCAAAAAAGAATGTGTTATGGAAGGATTCAACGTACATTTCACTAAGCATCCTTGCTGACTTATACAAACTTCAGTGATTTCCCTTTATGGGGAAGAAGATGTCACATTTTCCTCCAATGCAGAATTGTCTATTGGCTCTTCCCAAAATCTCTCTAACGCTCCCTTGATCTCAGGTCATGAGCTATTGAATTTACCTAGTTGGTACAACTGAATCCCTTAAACGTAGGCAGTTATTACGCTGTTTGGTTCTTATTTTGATGTGGCCAGATCATTTTGCTTGGTCATACTACTGATCTAAACAGTTCGATTCTGGCAGAGCCTAAACCTCATGTGGCACCTTTTCCCACGTGATGGTTTATCTACGTGACATAATTTTATGCCCCTTCACTTTCCCCCAAGAAACGCATGTTAGTCGTCATTCGTCTGATAGGCATTTCATGTCCTCAGGTTTGTCATTGCCTGGGTTCTCGAGACACAATTGTCTCTTCTCATTAAATACTTGTCATTTGGCATCCTCCCTCATGTAGTATAAGGTGTCTTGATTTTCTTTTCTTTGTATTATGTTCTTCTTCTCCACCTAACATTATGCTTCATTTATTCTCCTTCCAAATAGGCCCCTTATGAAAGAAGGCCTCCCAGCTTTCAAGAAAAAGTACAACATTTTTGATGACGTCCAAATTCAAGTAGCTGGTGATGATGAACCATTAGTTGGTATGAGGGAATCGATCCCTATTTATATGAGGGCTGTCACCGAAGGTGGGGTGAGATTTCCATTGCACCCCTGCTACTTTGGGTGCTCTCTTCTATGAAGCTATGCCTCATCCAGTGCTGCCTTAACTTCTTCAGGATTGTTATGGGTGTTGTTGCTTTGAACAACCTGCTGAATGTCAACCTGGGCCTTAGGGAAATCCTCTTTTGCTACATTCTAAAAATTACTGGTGATAGCTACTATCTGGCTGTAAGAAGGAAAGACAGATACTTGATAACCCATCTCCCAAACTCAAACAAAGGCCATGAATGTGACATCATTTTCATCTTTGAAAACTAGGAGTTTAAGGCAGGGGATATACCTTCTTACCAATGCCCATATGAAGAAGGCATGTCAGGTATACGATCATTTGTCTTAAGTTTTTTTTTTTAACCCAGTGCGTAGTATACACCTTTTAGTCTTTTACTTTTGTATTGAGGAGAGACTGTCAAGGACAAAATAACTGAGAGCTTTGTGAAGATGGATGACCTGAGGAAGGTGTCGTCCTTCAACGAGAGCCTTTTTTGTTGAGCTACTCATGTCTTGCTAGGGTATACCCCTACGTACCATTCATTCATTGCTATTCCTGATCGGGCCAATGTCAAGTTTGCCGAGGACATAGCTGAACTACAAGCCTAATGTGCTGCCATCCCCCGTTCTTGACAAAAGACTGCCATTCCCTCCAGAAGAAACATAACAGTAAAGAATTTTATTAGTTTCCTTTCTGCTAGCAAATCTTGTGAAGCCATTCCTTCAAAATTGCACATTCCTGATGAAACATCTTCTTTACCTATCCCATCAGTCGATTCAAAACTCCTTCTTGATCATGCCCCTGCTTCTGCTGATCTACTAACCGATTTTGAGACTTCGGTTCCTCCTCTTGAGCCTCCTACCAGCGAAGTTCCTGCTATTTCTCCAGTTATTTCTTCTCCACCTCGGCGAGCTGATGCTGAGCCCGAGGAGCATTTGACTAAGAAGAGGTGGATGTAGTCTCCTTCTGCTTCTGAACAGTCAAAATTTGCCTTTCCGCCCCATTTTGAAGGCGAAAGGCAACAAAATGAGCATTCGGGACTCGGTCGTTGAGGGCATGAATGTAGCGGTGGGGATTGCTAGGGGTGTAATTTTGCTTCGCGATCTTGCTGTGAATGTGGCAGCCTCGGATGATGAGATTGCTCGACAATCCATCTAGCAGATAGTTCTGGTATTTATCTTGATCCCCTTTTTCCTTTTAGACTCAATTGCATACTTATATTTTTCTCTTTCATTTTCAAAAAGGGTTTTCAAAAGGTGCATGAAGTAGGGGTCAGGATTGCCAGAAAGGATAAGACTATGAAATAGGCGATCCATGATCGTATGTCTGTCCTAGCCAAGAAAGAATCTGTTGACTAAGAATATGCCAAACTTTGCGAAGAGATGCTTCTCCTTCAAGCTCAATATCTTAGCCTAAAAGATGAGAACAAAAAGATGGCAAAAGAAGTGGAGGAGCTGAAGGCTTTAGAGAGCTCCCTTAGTGTAGATTTATCCAAGACTCAACTTGAAAATTCCTCTTTGATGAAAGAGTTTGACAAGTTCAAAGCTAAAGCAAAGGATCTTGAAGATACTACTTTTGATCAAGGGATGGAGAAAGCATAGACGGACCTTGCTTTGCAGATTCCTTTGCTGGAGAGAGCATATTTTTCAAAAGGTTGGGCTATTGCTTTGAAGGTTGTTGACGTGCCTCCTACTTCTAAACTCTTCTTGTGTCATTCTGCGCCTAGTTCTTCTGGTCCTCTTACTACCCCCTGAAAGTTCATATAAAGAAGCACCTTTTTTGAACATCTATGAAAGAAATTTCTCTTTCTTCCTTTATTATTATTTTTTTTTGTGCCACGTTATGACTAGAGACTGATTTAATGTACTTTCATTGTTTAACTAAACAGTCTTGCTCTAAGAAGCCTTGGCCCTGTTCGGCCCTTATCTAGGGTTAGGTCCCAAGCACATCTGCTAGGGACATTCTCTTAGAAAAAATCTCATTTAATTGGCTCTAAGAAGCTTTGGCCCTGTTCGGCCATTCTCTAGAACTAGGTCCCAAGCATATCTACTAGGGATTTTTTATTTAGAAAAAATCTCATTTAATTGGCTCTAAGAAGTTTTGGGCTTCTTCGGGCCTTCTCTAGAGGTAGGTCTCAAGCATATCTCCTAGGGACTTTTACATGGAAAAAATCATTAAATTGGGTCTAAGAAGCTTTGGCCCTGTTTGGCGCTTCTCTAGAGCTAGGTCCCAAGCATATCTGCTAGGGATTTTTTACTTGGAAAAAATCTCATTTAATTGGCTCTAAGAATCTTTGGCCATGTTCAGCCCTTCTCTAGAGCTAGGTCGCAAACATATCTGCTAGGGACTTTTACTTGGAAAAAATCATTAAATTGGCTCTAAGAAGCTTTGACCCTGTTTGGCCTTTCTCTAGAGCTAGGTCCCAAGCATATCTGTTATGAATTTTTTACTCTAAAAAAATCTCATTTAATTGGCTCTAAGAAGCTTTGGCTTTGTTCTGCCCTTCTCTCGAGTTAGGTCCCAAGCATATCTGCTAGGGACTTTTACGGAGCTTTGCAAAGAGATTGTGGCCCCCTAGGCCTTTCCTTGCAATTTTTTCGTTCGTACTGACTTACTGATCAAATCAGACTTAGACCATTGCCGGTTTGGTTTACATCGGCATGCCTAACCATGAGCCTAGATCTGATCAAGTGCCTATGCCTCATTTAGGCTTACGCCTCTACCAGGTTTTTTGCCTCCCTACCTTAGCAGTAGGATGAGAATAATAAATAAGTATTTGACAAGCACAATCTTATTATAAATGAATCTCCTTCTCTCCATAAGAGGATAACTATTCTGTCTTATGAATTATTAAAAGAAATAATAGTAAGGGGCACCCCTTCTTCTTCGAAGGTACTTCAGAAGTTTTGTTTGTGAAGGCACTTCAAAAATAGAACTTTTGTATCTTAGCTACGTTCCAAGGCCTAGGTATTTGCTTCTGATCCATGGTCTCAAGCTCATAAGACCCATTTCCAACGACCTGAGCTATCTTATAGGGTCCTTCCCAGTTAGCACCCAACTTTCCATGGGTTGATTCTTCGACAGCTCCCATTACCCATTTGAGAACTAAGTCCCCGAGCGTAAATGTCCAAGGGCCGACCTTTTTGTTATAAGATCGAGCCATTTGTTGCTGATAGGCAGCAATCTGAATGGCTGTTGCCTCCCTATTTACTTCAAGAAAATCGAGCTCTTGACTTGTGGTAGAGCTATTGTTCTCATTTGCCGCTAAAGTTGTATTGAGAGTTGGTAATCCTATTTCTAGGGGTATGACGGCCTCCATTTCATATGTGAGTGACAATGTGGTTTCCTCAGTTGCACGACGTGGTGTGGTTCAGTAAGTCCTCAATATGCTAGATAACTTTTTCACCCATTTCCCTTTCACATTTTCTAACCTCTTCTTGACTCCATCTATAATTATTTTGTTTGATATTTATGCCTGCCCATTACTTTGGGGGTAAGTGAGGGTAGAATATTGATTCTGAATTTCATATTGCTGGCAGAAAACTCTAAAATGGCCTATTTCAAATTGAGTTCCATTATTAGATATGAGAATTGCTGAAATGCCGAACTGGGTAATGGTATTCTTCCATACAAAACTTTTGGTATTCATATGCCTTATATTGGCCAAAAGTTCTGCCTTAACCCATTTCATAAAATAGTCGATTGCTACCAACAAGAATCGCTTATTTTCAATGCCCGAGGTAATGAGCCCACTATGTTGGGTCCCCATTGAGTGAAAGGATGGCTTGTTAATGAGATTAAATCCCTACAAGCTGCTTGGGGATAGGGGAAAATAATTGACATTTCGCACACCTCTTAACTAACTGTTGGGTGTCTTTCTGCATGTAAGGCAACCAATATCCTTGCGACAAGGCGTTGTGCGCAAGTGACTGTCCTCTTGTGTGCACGCCACAACTTCCTTCATGAATCTCAAAGAGAAAGTCTTGTATTAGGTCAGGGTGGATTCACCTTAAGTATGGTCTAGAAAATGAACGTCTGTAAAGCTTCTGGTCAGGTGATCACCAAAACCAAGCAGATTTGAGTGGTAATTAGTGCGCTTCCTTCTTATTTTTGGGGAGGCTCCCATTTTTGAGATAATTGATGATTTCATAAATTCAACTCGGTCTATCCTCACTCGTTTGCACCTCCGATGTTTTCGATGACATGATACTTAGCTCTGCCAGGTAGTTTACCGAGATGGTTCTTGCTCCTCCCTCACTTATTACCGAGGCTAAAGATGCCACTGCATTTGCATGTGTATTCTTTGAATGACCAACTTGACTGATGGAATGGTCTGGGATCTGGATGAGTTCTTTCTTCGTGAGCTCGTAGTACGAGATCATTCTCTCATCCTTTGCTAAGTACTCTCCTAAAATCTGGTTTACTATGAGTTGTAAGTCAGAAAATATTTTGAGCTTTGTGATGTTCAAAGCAATTGCTAACATCACTCTAGCTAGCAAGGCTTCGTATTCTGCCTCGTTGTTTGAGGCCTGAAAGCCGAGCCTTATCGCTTTCTTAATTACTTCCCCTCCTGGGCTTTCTAGTACGATACCTACTCCTACTCCCTTGTAGTTTGAAGCACCATTAACAAACAAACTTCATCCTTCTTCCGTATCTGATTCTTCACCCTATGGAGGGGATTGGATTTTTTACTATTCCCTAGAAGAGAAGTTGGCAATGAAATCAGCCACCACCTGACCCTTTATTGTTGTTTTGGCCTCGAAAAGGATGTCAAACTCACTCAGCTCAATGGCCCATTTAGAGATTCTCCTAGACATGTCGGCTTTTCTGAACAAAGCTTTAAGGGGTTGGTCTATAAGTACCACTATATTGTGTGCCTAGAAGTAGTGTCGCAGTTTTCAAGCTGTATTAACAAGTGCAAGCTTGAGTTTTTCTAGCGGTAGACACCTTGTCTCCGCATCAAGGAGCATCTTACTTACATAGTGGATCAGACTTAAACCTTTTGGTGAGTTTTTCATCAGAGCATCATTGACTACGTGCTCGGACACTAATAGATACAATAATAATCGCTCTCCTGGGGAGGGCGTAGCCAAAAGTGGTCATGATGCCATATAGGCCTTTAGATTATTAAAAGATTCCTTGCACTCTTAATCCCAGGGTGGCCCAGTTCTCCCTTTACTTACCTGGGAGAAAGGTCGACACCTGTCAAAGGTGCGGGAGATGAACCTTCCCATTGCTACAACCATTCTCATCCGTCTCTGAACTTCTTTTATCATTTTGGGTTGTTCCAGTAGGTTAGCGTCGTGACCTGGTCCGAGTTTGCCTTAATTCCTCAGTGGGTAACTAGGAAGCCCTGAAATTTCGCTGATCCGACTCCAAATGCACACTTTGAAGCGTTCAGCTTCATTCAAAATTTGCATAAGATGTCAAAAGTTCTATTCAAGTCGATGATGTGATCACGCTCTGCTCAACTTTTTACTACCGTATCATTAATGTAAACTTTCATAGAACCACTAAACATGTCTGAAAATAATTTTGTGACCAGCCTTTGGTATGTCTCCCCAGTGTTTTTTTAGCCCAAATGACATTACCCTGTAGCAATAAATGCCTTTTGGGGTTATAAACGATGTTTTTTCCTGATCCTGTTCGACCAGATGGATTTGGTGATAGCCCCAATATACATCTAGAAAGCTCAATCTTTCATTTTCTGCAGTTGCATCGACTAGTTGGTCTATCTTGGGCAACGAAAAATTGTCTTTAGGACACGCCTTATTTAGGTTGATAAAGTCTACACATACCCTTCATTTTTCCGTCTTCTTCGTTACCACCCCAGTATTTGAAAGCTAAGTCGGGTACTGTACCTCTTTAATGATTCGGGCCTCCAATAGTTTCCTCACTTCTTCCCTTAGTACATCCCTATACTGTGGTGCTGACATCCTCTATTTTTGTTTGACTGGCT